TCTCCTATAATATAAAGACTCAAACTCACGGCGGATCCAGACATTTGAATTGAGAAAGCTTCCTGGAGAGGTGGAGAAACGTCTCCAAATGTTGGAAACCAAGTCCAGTGGATATTTTTTAACTTTTACGGAATGACGATGACCTGGATGACTGGGAATCTTCATCAGCATTTTATTCTTCTATTCTGTTTTTTCATTTGGGCATTGGGAAATGAAAGAATATTGTTAACTGAAGCTAATTCGTGATGTTTTGAGATATAAATCACACTTTATTTAACTGGTGTCCTACAGAAGCCTGTTTTAAATTTATATATTTTTCTAGAGTAGTGTTTGTAATTTTGGGGTTCTGCGGCGTGCTTTCAACAACTTCTAAGAATAAATGAAGAGAGTTTCTTATTGTCGATTTTAGCGTTATCACGGTACCACAAAATAATTGGGCTGAAATAATTAATTGGATTAATTATGATTAATTGATTAGTGAAATAATCTTCAACTAATTAGGTAATCGATTCATCGTTAACTGGAGTATAGAGACCATAAAACATGCCTTTAGATGACAGAGCGACCCAAATGGAGCAGTAATTATAGCATGATTGTAAAAAAATATGTAAACATTTTGCATTAAAGATAAAAAAATGTCTGTCAATATGCTGTATCTAGAACTCTTCAAGGGGAAAAGTTTGAGCTTCACCTGGTTTGATTTCATAAAAAGTAAAAAGTCTTCTTTTAAGAATCTTTGGCTATTCAATAATTAATAAAAAAATAATCAACAGATTAATCAATTTGCAAAATACTCATTAGTTGCAGCCCTAAAAAATACTGCGATGTATTTTGTAGGGCCATATCGCCCAGCCTTAGAGATGAATCCTTGCTGATATGATGACAAGGAAGCGACTCACACAGTTTCACCTAAAAGTCCGGCCGTCTCTCTCTCTCCTCATCGTTTCTTCCCTATATTTAGTCTGAAAGTAACATAAATGGATCCAATAAAGCCCACCGATGTTGACCTTTTCTAGTGATGTCATCGTGTGTGTTGCAGTGATGGACGCATCGCCTCAGGACCCCCCTCTCATGGCCATGGACCTATCGAAGAGCTACACCCCGCTGACCCGCAGTCGCAACGAAGCGGTAGACTTGCCCAAAAAGCCGGAGTGGTACCACAGACGACCGACGACCTGCAGCGCAGACGGCGCCTCCGTGTACAGAACCAGGGCGTCGTCCTCCTACAGCCCGCTGTCTCAGCCGGGCGTCCCCGTCCGCTGTAGAGACATGGAGCAGGGACCGGAGGCTTTGGGGGGCTACATGAATTCAACCTTGGCTCCAGGGCTGGATCTTTTTCACAGCAGAGCACATGGTAACCTGTGGCACGACGGTTACTACGGAGCCGACCAAAGCGGGGACCCAGTTCCAGAAAGCAGCGGCGCAGAGGAAAGCGACAGTGGCTCTGATGTCATCTTCCTGGTTTCCTCTGCCAAGGAGCCTCTTTTGTGCGGCTCCTTCATCCAGGACAGCGTGAGGCACATGGTGGAGCCCGTGTCCCCCGCCATGTCCTCCCTGGATGAAGGTAGAGGTTGCTATCTCCTACCTCAGCCCATGAGCTCCCCGAGTGCCGACAGCTCGTACTCGGAGGACTCGTCGGGCAGCACTGTAGACATTCAAGTGCATCACACCAGGCCTGTAGTCCTCATTTCAGATCTCAATGGGGTTTACGGACACCCTGGTCGATCCGTCGCGGATGTTTCAAGCGACGACAGTGACGTCATCGAAGTTTCTGTCACTAATCATAAAAAAGAAAGGGGCGGTTACAGGAAAGACTTGCCGAAAATAAAGAGCAGGGATGAAAAAGCATCAGGTGGGGAGGTTCGGCGCAGTGCGAGGGTTAGAAAATCCGAGTCGGAAACGCCTCGGGTGACCTGCGGTGCGTCACGGCACAGCCTGAGAAGACGAGTGAAAAACGATGCTGTGGGTATTTATAACGAAAGCGGAGACTCTGAGGACTTGATCGAGTACGCGTTGATGTTTTCCAGCTCAGAGGAATCTGTCTCACAGCCAAGTTTGCCACCAAAAGCCAGGAGCCGCTCAGAGGAGTCGAATGGGGACGTCCAAAGTGACAGGAATGGGGACGTCCAACCTGACAGGAAGTCTCCGCCAAAGGAATCTCAGTTCCAAAAACTTTTGAATTCAGAGCGAAAAAGCCCTCTGAATCTTCCCAAACCTAAAAAGGTACGAAAAATGAAGCAGAAACCGATCTGCAGAATCCTACGGCCAGAGCAGCAGAAGGTTTCTGTTAGTAAGAGCACAGCTGTAAAAAAACAGATTGTAAGACGAAAAAGAAAAAGGCCCCCAAAGACTGGCCCCGCTGCTCTCTTCTCTCCCAGAGAGTCTGAAATTATGCTCAAATATGCAAAAAATAAAGACAAGAAGGGCAGAAAACCTGCCAGTTTCTGCCCGTTTGTCCACATGGAGCAGCACCTGTGCAGGGTGGTCAACTACCAAGAGGAGGAGGGGGCGGTTAGCAGCAGCAAAGGAGGACAAACTGTCCCCAAATCTCTATCTGGGTTTGTTCCTTGCACGTCCTGCTTTCAGCTGGGTCGACCCAACGCAGAGAGCAGCAGTCTGGACCAACTGTGGTGCTGCCTGTGTGGATGGGCGGCTAACACCAAGGGCCTCGGGGACCTTCATGGCCCCTACTATCCTGCAGTCTCTTCTGCAGACGGTCAGACGTGCAGAGCTGAGCAGAAACTCTCCAATGGTCATTTGCCAAACTCCTCCGAGGACGACTGCCCTCCTGATAAAGCTTCGCTCAGAGGCGACAAAGGCCGTCCCACGGAGGAGCGATTGTGTCTGAGCGAGTGTTGGATCCACGAGGACTGTGGGATCTGGTCCGCCGGTGTCTTCCTTGTCCGGGGAAAGCTGTATGGATTGGAAGAAGCTGCCAGAATTGCACAGGAAACAGTGAGTGACTCAAAGCACCTTAATTGTTTAACTTTCAAACTGGTGCGTTGGGATTTTACATCGCTGAGAGGTTTCCGCTTACGCACAGTGAAACACACACCACTCCAAATTGTGCAAACACTTATTTGTCCTGTTTAATAGGACGGAAGGAATCTTTTTTTTTTTTTTCTCAGACTGTAGTTTAAAGGCAAAATATTCGTCAGGCTGTCGACTAGGGGTGTAAATCACATCCATCATGGCGATTCGATTCAGTATCGATTTCCTCACCCAATGATTCGATTATTTTCAATACTCAGGAATATGCTTCGATTCGATTCGATTATTTGGTTCTTTTTTATTTATTTAACATCTTACAGGCTAGACAATGTTTCAAATTTGAAATAAATTAATGAAAGCTGTAATAT